TTTTTCTGGGTTTTTGTGTCAAGCCCCCGTTGCCTTCATTTGGTGGGACAGGAAACTGGAGCTCACAGGACATCTTTGACTAACACAGTCAATAACAGATTGAAAAGCCACAGAAATGGAATTTGCACTCAAAGTTCTCAACCAAGGCTAGTTTTCCCTTTGTTTTTTAATAGCTATTATTCATTGAGGACTTGCTAAGTACTGTGCTTTGTGCTCTTCATGCATCAGTGCTTTCAGCCCCCAAGCCCCATGATGTATGTACTGTTATTTCTATTTTATAGATGGGAAAACCAAAGCAGAGCCCTGAGGCTTAGGAACTTTCTCAAGTTCAGGGAGTCAATAAGTAGCAGAGTTGGAATTTGAACCCAGATCTAATGTGCTCTTCACCATCATGTAATACTCCCCATGTGCTACCTCCTTCAAGACAAACGGTTTGATGGAGGAAGCACTGGATTTGGAGTAAGAAAGCTTTGCTCAAGTGCCAGCTCCGCCTCCAAATGTGAATTTGGACAAGTAATTTGAGCCTTCTGATTTCATCTCTGTTTTTCCCGTCTATAAAATCCCACTAGGATCATTGTGAGGTTCACATAAGATAACGTATGGAAAACCATTTTGTAAAGGGAGAGATGTGTTCTAGAAGCCATGATCATTCTCATCGAAGCCGACTGTCTCGGGATACTATGGCACTGTGTTACTTTCTCTTTGCTTGAATTGTAACAAATGCAGTGGATAAAGGCCTGTGTTAACATAATTCATGAGCCTTGTGGTTGGATTTCACATCAAAGGGAAAAGTCCCAAAGGTTGCGAATCTGGGATCGGCTGTTCATGTTACAAGGTGTAGTTTTTGAGTCTGTGCATCATACTGCCCAGAGTAATGTCCGCGAGGAAGGCACTGTACCTTTCCAGGAAGGAGGAGAAATAAAGACTCTCAGTGCCTCTATAACTTTACAGAGTAGTAATTCTTTCTAAACAGAGCTCACACCACACTGTTTATAGTCTTTGAAGAAAGTGGTGATGTGTGCCAAAATGTCAGCACAACCAGAGATATCCTTGCTGTTGTAAGGTTGCATCAACATAGAATTATAACCAACATTTGGTTTATGATTTATGAATTTTGTTCTTCAGCCAATAGATTCTCACAACCTCCACCCCAGTCGCCCACAAAACGTAGCCTCTATTTTATTTCTCTATTTCAATTATAATTTTGAGTGAATATAGGAGCAAAGGTCAGCATTCTAACATCTAGTGAAAAATATTTTCAAACTGAGTTTTGGTTGGGAATTACCCACCGTTTCTGCAACTTGTAACCTAAGTGCCAGGAGCCTGCGGAGTTAAGTCTTGCGCCTTTCCCTGTGAGAACTGGTAGCGCATTCGGTAACTACCTCCTGCAAGGGATTTGATGGAGAGTGATCACCCAGGTCTTTGTAGACGTAAGGAAACAGAAGACTGAGGCAATAAACCAAATAATTAAAGGTGAAAAATCCAACCTTTTCTTTCATCAGATAAGGGCAGAGAATGCATTTAGAATTCCCCTTGACTCTCTTTACGGCATTGTTTTGTTTTGGAATATTTGTATAAAGCCCTCTAATGAAGGTAATAAAGAGGAAAAAAAGGGAGAAAAAGAAATTCTGAGTATAAAATACAGAATATGTCTGGTATTTGTTATGTTAACCCCGACTCCATGCAGAAGATCAAATTTATGTTTGGTATAATGGGAAACCTGTCATTGGGATACATGCAAACAAAGCCAGAAACACTACCAGACCATACTCGAGAATTCTTAATTTTTACTTTTCACATGGGGCAAAGGAGTTTTCTCTACAACTTGAGCTTGAGATCCCAAATGGGAATTAGGACAATAGTCCTACGTATATATCTGTAGCTCAAGCTGCTCCTGAACCCTTGGCCAGAGGTTTGACTCCCAGGTGAACCAGTAAGATTTGCTGTTCCAGGCCTTTCACCGTCAGCTCTGACCTGCATCAGCTGTGTTGACATTCCCAGGGATTCATTACAAAGGGTATACATGAGGCAGGGTGAATGGATCCACTCAACCAGCCCTGGAAACACACTTACTATTGACTCAATCTTATCTTTATTGCAGAAAGCATCATTTAGGTTACCACTCGAGTCTGCCTATCTTGAGAACTGAAAATGAAATAAATTGCAATCAGTAGAGAATCACCATTAAGACTTATTATTTAACGTGAAACTTTATGTTACAGCATTTGGAGAAATTTTAAACTTTCAGAAGACTTTTGGCCACACGATGGGTCAGTCAGGTGAAGTTTTCAGGACAATGTAATGGAAAAGAGATAGCTGGTCTGCGTGTTGATTTGAAAGCTGTGGTAGATGGGTTTGGATGCTCTGGGTAGCAAATACTGCAAACACCAACCCAAACTGACTTAAACAATAAGGACGTTTATTATCTCTCACCACATAACGGCAAGTGGGTTCCAGATGGGACGTGTAAGGGCTCTGTTCCTTGTCTCACTGACTCTCTTTGCCTTGCCCAACCCCTATGTCAGCTTTACCCTTGCCCAAGAGCAAGACGGCTGCCACTTTGCAAGTACCACATCCAGACATGACAACATCCACAGGAAGGAGAATCTGTCTCTTCTTGCTTCTCTTTCTCGGGAGCAAGGAAATCTTTCCCCAAACCCCCTCGGCAGACTTCCCACCTTTCACTGGACAGAATTGGATGAGATGCCTGTTCCTAAACCAATCAATGGGACTTTCATGGTTGGCTTAAGCAGAATTTGCCCATGGAGCCCATCCCTTGAATCACATAAGGGACAGATGGATAACTGAGCAAAATCAGCATTCTATCAGGAAAAAGGGAGAAAGAAGGAGGGATGGGTTTTGAGTAAGCAGCCAAGTGAGTCTGCTGTAGAAACCTTGGTCTTCACTAACTCTGAGGACAGCATTACCACATGCTTTATCCTCTCAAGATAACATTACTCACAGTTTACTCTGCAGAGTTTTCTATCAGATTTTTATGTGAAACATCATTTTTCTCAGACCTTGTGCTGCAATCTTGTTCCTTTTTTCCTGAGCAAAGACCACAATGGAAATCCTACTATAAAAACACTCGAGTGCTATCAAAGGATCGGACCATATAAGGTGCTAGGGACCTTTTTATTTTAAATAAGAAACACAACTATTTATACTTTTACAAGGAGTCTGCCCTATTTTAGTAAATATTTGGCAAAGCTTCTTGATTAAAAGAGCAAACTGACCCTTGTTCTGCAGGGTTGTTTTGCCATAACTGAAATCGTTCATTAATTTTCTGAAAATAGAAGCAGCAAGTGTGTGTTCTTTTGCACTGTGACTAAAGTAGTCCTTACTTGTGATTTAAGCTGTATTTACTTAGGCATAATTGGTCAGGTGTCTTTCAAACCTTGGTCCTAATCAGACTCTGCTCTGAATCACAATCACCAAATGGTACAATTGGAAAATACTCTCCTATGGATGGAGCAATGATGCTTTAATCCCATCCTGGAGAGTATGGTGTGTTTGACAATACATTTCAAACTGGATTTCAGAGGTCCTGGATTTGGTAACAAGCCCCAACTGTTTTGAGAAACAGTGATTCTCTAGGCCATTAAACAGCACACATTCTGAGAGAAGCCTGTTGAGTACCATATGTTTCTGATTCATTGGCAGTTAACTGTGATATGGGGTTTGTAGGAAAAACTCCAGGCCCAACCAGCTTCGCATCTTTAAAGGTATCCTTTAAAGGGGTGCCGTTGCAAGAAGTGTTTTTAAGTCACTCTCAGAATCTTTTGTAGGACACCCATATTGAAATTACCCCAAGATGCCACACAGCAGATTGCAGGCTTGCCAACAGGCTGGGTGCAAAATTTGGACACAGGGCTTGCCATCTGTCCCTGTCACAGTAAAATGTGCCTCTGCCTCCTACCCCTGTCCCCATCCTCTGCTCTGGGCTGACAGTTTTTGATCCTAAATCAAAGCTGTTCGGAAGAAAAGTTATCAGTAGATACCCAGGAAAGGATTTAGAATCCTAAAACCTGAGGACTGGAAATTGCCTCAAAGATCATCTAGTCTAGCCTCATTTATTAGAAGAGCAATGTGAGGTGAGGTGACTCGTCCAGTGTCACACAGCTAGCTTCCTGTTTGTGTCTCATTCCCTTGTTTCTTGCTGCTTCCAGTGGCTACTGAGAAATCCAAAATCCAGCTTCCAGGTGGGTAACTCCAGCAGAGGCTGGAATACACTAGCTGCCTCTGGGGCTCCACCACTGAAGGAGCTGAGAAATGGAAAAATGAAGGTCCCCGTCTCATAGGTCCAGTGCGATTGAATAACTTCTCTCACTTAGAACAGTGCTTGGCATGTGGGGAGAGCTCAGGAAGAGTATCCATTGCTGCTATTAATCTCCCTTGACTGTTGCCAGAAGGCAAGTGATACATGGAAAGAGCTCTGAACTAGTAGAAGTTAAGAAATTTCTAGTTCCCGCCATGTGACTTGTGATAAGTCATTCACCTCAAATCCTCAGTTTCCTCAGATGAGGATTTTATGCAGCAGTGCTGGCTTAGCCATAAAACTACAGGAGAGCTTCTCAAAGAGTAATGTGCACACAAATCACCTGGGGATCTTGTCAAACTGCACAGACTCTTTCTGCAAATCAGGTGTGGAACCCGAGATCCGGCATTTCTAACACGCTCCCAGGTGATGCCAGTGCTGTTGGTCCAGGGCACCCCCAGCCCTTCTGATGTGCCATACAACGTAAGGAGAGCATTCTGGTCATCAGGCCGACAGCAGCCTCCAAGACCCTTAGGTTGTCTTCTTGACGCCAGCGGCAGCTTTCATAAGGCAGTGCGGAGAAGTGACATCTGCTCCTAAAGTTTCTGCAGAAAGGGGGTCTCTCTTCGTACCTAGTTTCAAGGTCTTACATGTTCATTAAGTTTAGCCTTCAGCCTCAGAGTAATCTCACACTTTGCTCAATACCGTTTTGCAGATCTGGTGACTGCGATGTCAGCATTCTAAAGCCCCTCCCCTAACAGCTGGTTCCACTTCCTGGGCAGTTACGCCATCAGGCTACGGTTGGGCCAGGTACCAGACGTTCCTCTTGGGAAGACAGGTGTGATATCAGGGGACAGGTGAGTGATAAATTCAGCTCTCAGGCTGGGAGCCAAATCATGTTTGAAACAGTTTCTGTCCACCTTACAAGCTTTGGTGTGGATGGGGCATGAGTGAAAGTAAGGGCAACAGCAAAATCTAGCATCACAGCCAGGAAAACCGTGAATAACAGGAAAGAGACTTGAAAGTGAAGTGTGTTTGTGTTCTAAGAGAATTGCAGAAACCTTAACAGGCCAACACAGCTGAGAGGACTTAACCGGCTCTAACTAAAAGTGGGCAGGTGATTGGGTGTTTGATACATTCCTTTGGGAATTTCTGGAGAGTCGGGAACTTAGAAGAGTTTGGTGTTTGAAAATGTTTCTTTACCCGGAGGTGGGGTCCAGGGATGGCCGTTAGGAAGCGTGACTTCAAGGTTTACTACCGGCTGCCGGGCTCCTCCTTTCTTCAGTCCAGTAGTGGGCAAAGGGTACAAAAAAAGGATGTTTGGGCAGAGAAATGAGAATTGAAAACAAAGGAGACCACCAGGTAACTCCTGCTTTCAAGACTCAGCTCACCTGACATCTCCCCACGCCCTGTGTCTGCCCCGCCGGACAGTGTTGTACTTATTGATTTGTCCCCTGAGGGCAGAGGCTCTGACTCCCAGGTACTCCCAGATCCCATCACAGGCCTGATCCCAGTAAATACTTGGTTAGGTGTTTGTGGAATGAGAAAGATGGACAGAAAAAGGAAAAGGCGGACGAAGGAAGAGGAAACCGAGGAGGAGGAAAGAAAAAGAAGGGATTGAGCGAAGCTTTGGGAAGCCAGCTTTTCACAGTTCCAAGAACAGTTTCCAAAATCCTTCTAACTCAGGTCCTATTAAGCAGTCCGGCTTTCCAGCTTCCTTGATTGCACATGTGTAGCAAAACTCAATGACATCTGAGTCTGACTAAAATGTAACCCTTTCCCGGGCATCGGCTGTGGCCACTGGAGCTTAAATACAGAAGACATAGCTGTCTAGTCTCTAGCTTGGCATTGATTCCTTTCGTGTTTGAAGCCAGCTGAAAGACGAAGCAGGCAGGGCACATGTCAGAACAGACGTTGTCCCCCCTCGCTCAGAACCAAGAGGCTGATTCCTCAGCTGGCCACCTCCGAGGAGAGGAACGGAAGCCACAGGGCGGGGGGCTGGCTGACGCTGCATTCCTCAAACCTACAGCCAGGGGATTGTGTTATTTCAGCCATGCTTCGTTAGATGGCAAATATGTGAGCGGCTTTATGAGGATCTGGGACATTGTCGAGTCTTCGAGTTCACAGCTGAGCTGCTCCCACCCGAATTAACCACTCCCGCCAGGCGCTGTTTGGGGTGCAGGCCGTGGGGGCACTCTGATCCCTCAGCACCGCTAGGTTCCGAGGGTTGTCGAGACAAGAAAAATCTCACTAAAGGCTACGCTTCTAAAAACCCTGGGCCAACTCTTACCCCAAACTTCTGGCTGCAATGACAGTTATACAACAGTTGCGCCAGGAGTGGCCTTGCCCCTCTGCCACCGCCAGCGGAGAGAGGGCGTCTCAGGTCTCACTCTCATGGAGGACCAAAAACCGAAGTTTTGAATGTCACTTTGCCAGTGGGAACACAAAATGCGACTTCGGTCCAAATAGTAACCTTTGGGCTAGCGTTTCTGCTCTTATAAATCTCAAACGTTGCTTGCTGTCTGCTTCGTGTCCCAGATTCCTGCATAAGTCTGTGGACTGCATCAAAACACTTTTGAACATAGAGACCGGGTGTGGTGACTTTGTAGGTTGTCTACTCAGCTGCATTGAACTAAGTTTCCCAGAATTCCCTTCCCTCCGTGGTTCCGGATGACATTTGGGAGGCCACTGTGAGGCAGCTGCTACTTTTATGCTCTGAAGGTCTTGTGTAGGCACCAGGCACCCTGGCAGCTCTCATCTCCTGTTAAGCAGCTGCTGGCCTACCTCTTGGCGTGGGGCTACAGCTCCTCCAGAACCTGGAACAGGTATATGGGCAACTCTGACAAAGGGCCCCAGCTGCTTCTGCAGGTCACTCACATCCTGAAGGCTGGAGACGGCGAGACATACAGGTACCAGTTGTCCTCATGAGTTCCAGTTTGTCTTTGCTCTCCCTCATTGCACATCCAGTTTGCTGATCTATGTGACTTCAGTCCCGACACCAGCCGTGGAGGCAACAGCCTTGCACAGACTTCTTCACCAGGTCCCACAACTGCTTCAGCTCTAATCCACATTTTAAGTCTCATTATAAATCACACATAGTGGCTGGCTTTTCTGACTGAAACCTGGCTGATACAATGTATAGAGCCAGCTCATTGGCACAAACTTGAAAGGTTAATGTGCATAAATGACAGCTAATAAAGTCCAACCCTAATTTTAGTGGTTAGTGTTCCCCTTTCTCAGTGGGGACTTGCATTAAGAGGGTTGTTGACCAGTGGACCAAGCTGGCTGCTTTAAGTACACATCCCTTTTTTCCCCTCTTGTCCCTTTATAGTAGTTGTTCACATGGTTTCCACTGTCCTGACCCCACTCCCAGGAGCTGACCTGCTCCACTGAAAAGATCAGGGCCAGCCAATGCATCTCGAACACCTCGAACATTCCTTCACTTTCACCCATTCCCTCCCTCACATCTCTCTGAGCAGTTCTCCCTTGCCCATGCTGACCTTTCTTCCTGGGCGGTTGGCCCCATCCTCTCCCTCATCCTTGCTTGCTTCCTCTTTCTTTCTCTCGGTCTCTTACACCCTTCTCCCCCTTCCCGTGGAATCCCCCCCCCGCCTTCAAACATAACACGGTTCATCTACCCCATGGTTAAAAGCACCTTTCTTCGACCCTGCTGTCGAACTGCCTTCATATTTCTTTGCCTTCCAACAAATTCCCTAAAAGGGAAACTGTTGCCTCCACCTCCCCAACGTGCCTTTTTTTATTTGGCCCTCTAAAACAGACTTGGATCCCCACCTTCTATACCAGCGGTTCTCAGCCTCGGCTGCTGGTAGGAATCACTTGCGGCCCAGGATGCCCTTGAAGGAGGAAGGGGACAACCTTCTAAGTTTAAAGCAACTTAAGAAAACAGAGGAAGACGGACGTATTTGCTACCTAAAAATGTTAAAGCTTCCGAAAATTATTTTGCTATTTAATTAAGCAAGTTTTATGTTTTAATACCCAAAGCTGGTGAGAACATGCTTCTCGTTCTTGCTAATGACTGGGTAACTAGGTATAATCTCTTGGAAAAAACGATCTAGTCAACTGTATCCAGAGGCATAAAGATGTACATACTATTATATTGTATCTACTTCTAGAAATCTATCCTAAGGAAGTAACTCAAATACTGAAATAAGCTGAGGTCCTCAAAATGTTCTCTGGAGTATTATTTATAACAGAAATTAGAAATAACCTAAATAACCAAAAGGAGAATAAAGAATGTATTTATGGTGCATTCAGTGGTTGGAATATTAATATATAAATTAAGTGATAAGACTATGACATGGAAAAAATGCTTATGATATAATAAGTGGGGAAAAAACAGAAGATGTAAATATAATGTAGTGGGAAAGTCAGTAAAGTCGTATGAATCAAGCCTGGTTTAAATTAACGATGTGGCTTTTCAAATGTCAATTTCATATTTTAATAATTCTAACTATTGGAAATTTGAGCAAATAAGCTTTAAAACACTCTTTAAAAAAAAAAAACACTCTTTCTACTAGCTCTCTGTAAATGTTTAGTTCTGCTTTAGTTAACTTTTTCAAATGCATTTCGAAACAAGGCTAGCAAGCTGGTTTTGTCCCGATAAAATTGTGCTCGCCCTAAACTTGTCTTGTAAACATGGCTCAGGATGATAACACAATTCCCTTCAGCCTCATCCCTTTTTAGGGAAGCTGTCCTCATTTCCCCAGCTGGAAGATTTATGGGGGACATTTGACTTCATGCTCTTGCTTCAGTTTCATTGGCAACACGATTTCTCCAGTGAATTATTTTTCTCTTGTGGCAAAAGGAAGAAATATTCAGGCTTGTGGTTAAATGCTGATTCTAAAAAGTGATCCTAAGGGACATTATTCTCAGCTTTTCCTGAATTCCCTGGGATAGTTATTGACAATAATTGTGTTTTGGGGTCCCCATTTAGCCTGGGGGGGGGACTTGGGGTAAAAGAGAAAAATAACAATTTCATACCTTCACTATTAATTTAGTCATAGAAATACATCCCACAGTGACACAGAACACATTAAGTGACTGATTGGAAATGCAAAGATGGCCTCTGAGGCTTTAAAGTCAAGATAAGGGGGAGGCTTATTGTACAACATGGGCTGGACCGCTCAGACTTCTGAAAGGCACACACGAGGGTGTTTCTCCCAGCTGGATTTCTGCCAGCTGTGGTCACCATTTGCCACCCTTACCCATGGACTGAGCTGATTGTGAGTTCTCTTGTAAGCACAGCCTTGTTCCAGGCTAGGTTTCATTTAGAGAGAAGGGGGATGTTGAGCTTGGAGAATAGGGGCCAGTTGGTGTCACGATGAAATACAGCACCGGCTGCACTGTTCAGGGCTTCATTCAGACCAAGGCAAATGTTGTATCCTGTTGCCTGTTGGGACAACACTCAGTTCACTAAGGGAAAATACAGGGACTGCCACCTCCCCCGACTCCTGTCTCTGCTTTCTGGCGAGGATGTTTTATGAGCCTGTCTCTGCAAACAGGTTTAAACATGCTTTTACTAACCTAACTGAAAATAGCTTACTCGTTGATGCTCCAAAAGTACAAACAGATTTCTATTTTCTATTTTTTTTGGAAATGTCCTAACTTGCCTGCAGCTTGGTTCCTTTCAAGTCTGCTGTACTTTTCCCTGGATGCCTAGGGTTGCAGTAAAAGGCACTGTTCATTCCTCTTAGCCCAAAGTCCAATTTGAATCCAACAACATCCTGTTTAAAAAAGCTCAAACTTTGTTTACTTGTGTGACCTCAGGGTTTTCACCTGGGTTGTTGTGATTTTCCTCAGAGGACTAAAGGGTAGGTACATGAGAGATGGGCTAGAAGCAAAGGACTCGACTGCATGATGGAAAGAGCAAAGCCAGACAGAAACATGTGTGTGTCACTGGACAGTTTGGAAGCCTTTTGTATGAAGGACATTTATGTTGCCTTTGGGAATAGCATAGCTTGAGATCAATTAATTAAAGGGATATATGGTATATCATTCTCTACTTCAAATGACAGAAATATTTACATGAAATCTGCAGTACACTATAAATGCAGCCTCATGAACATCCTGAACACACAGGTTCTTCCTGCCGGGCATGCTCTGGGGATAGAGGGCAGTGGGGCGGACCATGAAGCAGCCATCACAGCTCTGAGCCAGTTAGGACACTGCTGACATCCTCCTGGGTCTGAAACCAATTCTCATAGTAAAGGAAGAGGTACATGGGAGATGTCAGAAGAGAAGGCAGTCAACATTGACTTCTCTATTCAACATTTGTTTACTCCTCACAGTTCCTAAGGAAGGTTTCTTTGGGGCCTCAGAGTCATGCTGGGCTCAAGGTCAACTTTGGTGGTGTTTACATTTATAATGCAGTGAAGGCACTGATGGGAAACTCACTGAGAAACATTGACAATGCAAGACTGGTGACACAGAAGGAAACTGAGGCAGCGATCAGCAAAAGTCGAACGTGGGACCTCGACTCAGAGCCAAGTTTCCAAAGCTTGGGCATAATCTCTCTTCTTCTCAGTTGAAAGTGACTTTTTAGGAGGTAAGTGTGAGTGTGGGTGACTCGCAGCAGGATCCAGTTAGAGCACAATTCTGAGAATCCAGACCGTGAAATCCTCCCTGGTTGTGCCAAGAACCCACTGCACGAACTTGGGAAAGTTGCCTTACTCCTCCGTGCTCTGCTTCACATGGCGGGGAGAGGACAAATCAGGGCCTCATCAAAGGCTTAAGATAATAAAAGTTTTCCTTAACCTTTTATAGAGATCAAATCAAACATACACGGAGAAAAGCAAAGTCAGTGATTTAGGCTTGACTTGGAAAATATAGTACATTTAAGAAGAAAATTAGCCCATGTTTCCTTTATCTTAGCAAGGAGCTTATCCTCCACACAGCTGTGAAAGAAGTGTCTGAAACACCCATCATATCATTCCGCTTTCCTGCCTCAAGCCCGTGGCTGGCTGCCTGTTGCCTAACAGGACGTAAGTCAGATTCCTGGGCTGTGCAGCCAAGATGCTCTGTGATCCCGGCCTGCCCACCTCTCTGGAGTCAGCTCCCACCCCCTAGTCCATGCACTCCTTCTCAGGGGCTCCCGAAGGCTGTACCCAGAGGCGTGGAAGGGGCCTCACTGCTGTGGTCATGGTGGAGATGCATCCGAAGACCAAGGTGATAAAAAGCCTCATCAGGCCATCCACTCAAGGCCAACTGCACAGAAACCCAGCAGTGTCCTTGGCCACCCTGTGTCATATTTCCACCAAGAGCCTGAGTTTCTCCACTGATCTTCTGCAGCTGTTTGCTTCTTATCTCCTCCTCGTCCTTGTTCTCGCCCCGCTTTGCTGGAAGCACTCTGATTTTGCACGTTGTCTGTCAGGTTTGCTGAGCACGCCAGTCCCAGCAGGAGCAAAGGGCTCTTGTCTGCACAGAGCCTGAAATACCGAGAGACAGGTAGTGAGCTACTGAGCTGTGACGGAGCCCAGGCTCCCAGTCAACTGCCAAGGGCAGAGATGCACAGAGGCTCTGGGTAACCATGGCTCGGGGAGACCCAGCGTCCACCTGGTCCTCCCTCCCTCCTTTGCGGCCTTGCAGCTTCCGGTTTCCTGCTGTTTCCTTTCTGGGGTAGGGGTCGTTTTGCTATGGTCAGTCTGGCCTCCCCCTGAATTGGTCTGGTTAGTTCTGCCCTAGCAGTGCTAGGTTCTTTCTAGACAGCCCACCTGCCTGGTTGCCCTCGACCTCCAATTGCTTCACCATTCTATCCTGGTTGGGGTGGAAGGCACCTTACCAGAGAACAGCCACGTCTCCCTACCCTCAGATCACGTGGACAAGTGAATCAAGAAACCAGGTGATTACAGCAGTCTTCCTTGGGGTAGGCGGTGGGCCAGCCCTTTACTGCTTTTAATCCTCTCCCTCATCCTCCGATGAAGGTATTATCCCCATTTGTCAGAAATGGGAGCTGTAATACAGGCTCACTAATTTGCTTGAGGTTATAGCTAGAAAGGGATGGAGCTGAGTTTCAACCCAGGTCTAATTCTAAAGACTTCTCCCTCCCATTATGCTTATTATCTCGTGCTTACTATGGGCTAGATACTTTTCTAGGCAGTTTACTTGTAACAACTCATTTAAACCTCACATCTCTAGGAGGGAGACTAGTATCTCAGTCTTACAGAGGAAAAACTAAGGCCCAGAGACATTAAGTTTCTTGCCTGATCTTACACAGCTAGGAAGTGGCAGAGACAGAAGTCAGCCTGGCAGCCTGGCTCCAGAGTCTGTGCCCCTCACTCCTGTGAGCCACAGCCTCTCCGAGCTCCAGCCTCTTAGGGTTGTCAGCTCAACCAACACTGCCCGAACACCTGTCTTGGGCCAGCACAACATGATGGCACCAAGAGGAGTGTAGAGATGTGTGTCCTTGCACTCAAGGAGTTTACAAGGTCCAACTAACAGGTCAAGGGGGCATGAGGCCTTTGCAAGGATACGCTGAGGGTCATGTCTACCCTGCATCTTCAGGTTTACTTTTAAAACTATAACAGAGTTCCTTTTTGGAAATCTTTACAATGCACAGACCTCTATGCTGTCAGGGGAGGCTGAGAAATAGCAAAAGCCTGTCTTTGGCTTTATCTCCTTAGATAGGGGAGAAATCCACAGTTATGTGGGATCCAAGGAGAGCCAAGCTTTTGATACTGTTCAGCTCTGCCTGCAGAGAAAGGCAGCAGCTGGAGCAGAGGATGACCATGGAAGCTTGACCAAGGGCAGCTCAGCAGCAAACAAGAAAGCTGGGTGTCTCCTGCCTGTGCCCGTCTCCCATAGGTGCTAGAAGGCTTTGTCTCGGCTGCTGTTTAATGTCTTCAGTCCCTCTGGGCAAAGTTGGGGCTGGGGCAAGAGACTGCTGGGAGCTGCGTGGGCCAGGGGCGCTGGTTTCTGCATCTGTTCTCCCTAGGGTTCTTCTGGACAGCCCCTGGCTCACAGCACATGGTCAATTAAAAAGACAAACTTTGGAGCCAGACAGAGTGGGAATCAAGCTGTGAGACCTGGGGCAAGTTCCTGAATCCCCTGTGCCCATGGATCCATAAAATGGGGCTACCTCATAGCACCGTGAGGGTTAAACACAATAATCGTATGAAATACAGGGTCTGGCACATAGTCAGTGTTCTGTAAATGTTAGCTATTAATAATAAAATTCTAAAATCCAAGTCAGTTAACTCTTTTCTGAATCCTCCTGCCCTTTCCCTACTTTGCCCACCTCACCCTCTGCCTTCTCTTGGCTTGTACAGTACTTTATGGATCTCTCTGCTACGACTCTTATGCTGAATGGTAAGCGTGTCTGTCTGTCTCCTTGAGTAGACCATGCACTTTCATCTGAGGGCTGAGCCTTATCTCCGTGCCCACACACAGCACTGGCAGTCCTGGCTGCAGTAACTGATGAAACAGAATCCTATCCTGTTCTGCTTTGCTGACCTACAGGGTGTGACTGGAGGCCTGAACAGATGTGTCTGCTGTGCCAGGGGATGGTTTCCCCTGAAGACCCTCTCTGCTAACACACGAGCCTTCCTCCAGCAGTGGGCCCCAGGTAAGGAAGCAGACAGGAACTCCCACCCTGAGCCAGGTTTCCAGATCGGGGCGGCAGGAGATGTGTGGTCTTCCTTCCTTGGCCTTCTGACTGCTCAGCCTCTCTGAGTCCTCCCTGTTGCAACAGTTTCCTAAGTTAGCCCCTACGGGGTTTTTTTCTCTCCTCCAATTTTTCCAGTATACCAGAGCTTCTCAAAGTTTAACTTGCATATACACTACCTGGAGATCTTGTTGGGATAAGGCCACGGTGCTGCATTTCTGAGAAGTTCCTGGGAGATGCAGGGGCTGCTGGTCTTCCTTCAACACCCTGAGCAGCCAGGCCATGCTCTGCTGCCAGGAAGATCTTCCTAAATGCATTCCTAAATGCATTTCAGTGGATCTGAAAAGATCTTTCACCCAAAGATGTATGAGAACAGCAAGTGAACACACCAAAAGGTGCTCAACAGCATTAGTCATCGGGGAAACACAGATTAAAACCACAATGAGATTCCACAACACACCTATTAGGACAGCTAAAAATAAAAAATATGATACCAAGTGCTGGTGAGGATGTGGAATAAGCAGAAGTTCCCTGGAAGTTCCCTATACTGCTGGGGAGAACGCAAAACACCACAGCTGCTTTAGAAAACAGTTTGGCAGGGTTTTTTAATTTTTATTTTTTTAATAAAGCTAAAATTTGACCTAGCAATCTTACTCTTATATGCTTAGATATTTGCCCAAGTGAATTGAAAACTTACGTTCACACACAAACCTGTACATGAAGGTAGTTAGTGGGTTTATTCATAATCACCAAAAACTGGAAATAACCCAAACGCCCTTCAGCCGATGACTGGATAAAGATCCACACAATAAAGTACCACTGAGCGAGAAACGGACGGACTATTGACACTCACAGACACACGGATGAATCTCAAACATGTTGTGCTAAGTGGAAGAAATCAGACTCTAGAAGCTACTTGCCGTATGATTCCATTTTATAGAACATTCTGGAAAAGGCAAAACGATAGCAATAGAGAACAGTTATGAGGGGCTACTGTGGGGAAGGGCTGACTGCGAGGAGACGTAAGGAACTCTGTGGCGCGATGGGAACATTCTACACCTTGAGGTGGGGGTGTTTACACGTCTATATACATTTGCAAAACTCAGAACACTAAAAAGGATGGATTTTACTGCATGTCAATAATATCTCAAAAACAACGATGACAGCAACAAAAAATCTTCAGTGGCTTCCATTTGCCCAAGGAATTAAAATAGAATCCAAGCTCCAGACTCCCTACCCTTTCTAACTATTTCTACTATTCATTTTCTCCAAACGCCAGCTAAACTTTGCTGTCACCAAAACACACTCTGGTTTTTCTTAGTCTGTCTCATCTCCTGGAATACCCCCTTCTTTTACAAAATAGGTAAATAATAAACACGAAATGAATGAATGAATTTTCCCAGTAATATGCCTTGATTCCCCATTGACCAAAAATGGTGCCATGGAGATAGAACCCTGCAGCCCTGCCCCTTTTCCTGAATAGGGAGCTCAGTCATTTGTAGGGGTTTTGTTTTACTCTGGTTGATACTTTGGGCACGGGCGAATCTACTTAAACAAGCCCCGAGTGTGCTGGAGAGGCAGCAGGGCGAGATTGCAGCCTTGGCGAGGCACTGCCCTGGCACTCACCCCACCCGCCCAGGCCACGTCCGGACTTCCCTCTCCCGGCGTAGGTGAGGAGAGGCCAGCCCCGCTGACAGGAGGAGCTGTGGTGGTGTCACCAGGCTGGCAGTGATTGATTCCCCTGTCCTCACTCGCTGGCTCGCTGGCAGAAGCGCTCCTCACGTCCCCGCATCCGCTGCCTGCCTCTGGGGGAGGTGGCCTCCCCCGCGGTCTGCTCTCCCAGCTCTCCCTCGCAGGGGCCTCTCACCAGTCCGTCAGTCCTCACCTCTCTCTCCGCAGCCCTGGCGCATTGACAGACTCCAGGAGGGAGACGCACCGGGATGGATGCGGAGAGCTGACTCCGTCGTTGTTCACGCTGAGATCATACTTGGGGGTCCCAACCAAGAACCCCAAATCTTTGAGCAAGCCCCTACTATGAAGATAAACCCTGAGGGAGATGCACATAGATATACATGCAGGGGAATAAATTATACTCCTAATTGGGTCTTTGGCCGCAAGCCCCCGAATCGTCTTCTAGGAGGAGCCAGGTTTTTTACAGGCTATAGAAAGGTCTAGAGCCTTAGTGAAAACCTGGCTGAGGGTGGCCTGCACCTTCGTCTGAGCCCTCTAGACTTTATGATTCTTGAGGAGAGGAAAGATAAATCAAAGAAACAAAGGAGGGAGGCCGTTTGCCCCATTCAAGCTCCCTCTGACAACTTTGTCCTGCTGCATCTTTGCTCAGTCCACAGTCCAGGCATCTCCTTCTCACGATGGGGAGGTGGGCAGGGGTCCCAAGGCTCTCCTGGGGTCCAAGGATGGTGACATGGAAAAACTGTGAAAACCTACAACATGTACATAAACTCCCTGCCAGGGCCGGTTACATAATTTGTGGGGCCCCGTACAAAATGAAAATATGGAGTCTGCTGTTCAAATGCAGGGGGAAGAATATCTTTAAAAGTACTAAAATATAAAGCTTTTTCACTTCATCCATGGGCTCTCTCTATTTGCCATGGTGGTTTTTATTTGCTATATAATGTTCTAAGTAAAGAAAAATTAACATTTTAAATTATTAGCATGAATTTTACCATTCATCTCTATATCACACAATACTTGTTTTAAATGCAAACATAAGAGCATTTAACTCATATGTAGAGTCACTGAAATTATGTAGTTCATATTTCATAGCTTGTACATGCCTGTGTATTTCATCCTTACCACACCCGAGGAGACACTGCACAGAACTTGTGCAATTGTTTTTATTTCGCATCTTGCTGTGCACACGTTCTACCGATACTCTCTGCCTTCAGCTTACTGAGGAATAGGAAGGACTGAAAGGAAAAGGAGCTATGATTTGACCTCTTTCCCTGTCCTTCTACGTCTTCCTCTCTCCTTCTTCCTTCCTTCTGTAAGGACACTGTCTGGACCTTGGCTGCCCTCCTGGCTCTTCGGGTGGCTGTCCTGGGAGAAGGCTGATGTCTGCAGGCTCCAGACACTGCCCGTGCTGCAGGCCTTACAGATGCCCAGGAACCTCAGCCCTGAGCCATGTCTCTGTGGAATGTTCCCCCTTCCCAATTCTGTCTCCTGTTTTGTCATTAAAATAGTGGTAAAGTAGTTAGCGTGATGGAGCATTTATTACACTAGACACGTACATAACCGTGCACAGTTAGGACTGCTCACAGCCCTGTGTCTCTCGGAGTTCTCAGTGACAGAAGTTTCTCCTGCTTTGGTCTGCAGCCCCTCTCTCCAGAAAGCTCAAATGTGAGATCATCAGGCTGGGCTCTGAGGCAGGGGACAGGGAACCCCGGAGATTTCAAGTCAGATCCCTGTTATCTTCACCATCTACAGGGGACCCCGGTGCTTCTTTGAACTCCTTCCATTCTCTGACAGATCCACACGTAAATCAACCCCCCCGGGGCCTCCATACCATTCAGTGAGACAAGGCTCAGGAGGAGAAACAACTTAGGTTAACAGGGAGGGCCCCGGTACATGCACACATACACACACACACACAAAGGGGGCACACACGTGCGCACACACAAACAGGGCAGCCTAACTTGAATTTTAACACCCTTGACAGAGGGGCCCCTCATCCTTGACTGGGAATCATGCCCCTCCCCCTCATGGGCCCCTGCTGGACACCGTGGGCATTACGCAGGACCCAAGTACCCTGCACAATGCCCATGGCGTCTAGCGGGTACTCTCAGTACCTCAGGAGATTATAGTTTCACCATAACTCTTATCATTATCATCTAGTATTTGCCTCCTTATCAGGTCTCTCCCATCACCCTGGAACATCAGCCTTATGAGAAGAGGGTCCTTATCTGTCGTGTTCCCTGCTGTAACCCCAGAGCACAGGGTAAGCACTGAAAATGCATTAGGTGAGCAAATGAATGAATAAGTGATAGTTTTGTTGCTTTCAGTACCCTTACTTAGCACCTGCACTGCCCATGTGCCCTCTAGACTCTCCAAAGCCAAATTCCATACATCACCCTAAGAGTCAAATCGAGACCAGCATAGCCGGAAGGATTGGGCCCCGTGCTTTGTCTCTTTGGGAGGGCACAGGAGGAGGGTTTCCCTTTGGCCAACATCTGGGCAAGGGGTCAGAGGGGATTTTGGCTGATATGAGAGGTGCCTGGGACCCCATTAGTATAGCCAGTTGGAGCCCCTCTTGTCCCTACTACCACCAAGGCAAAGCCAGCTCCTTGCCATCCAACCTTTTCCATACCTTTCAGGCTGAGGGACGCCATCTTGTGACTCCTTTTCCCCTTCCAGCTCACCCTTGGGTCTATTTGGTTCGGGCATTAGGGTGAGGGTAAACAGGGCCCTTTTCCTCTAAGGGTATTAACGTGGGCAAGCAGACCCCGGCCACCGGCAGGTCTTGGCCCTCCTTAGCAGGTGCTGCCTGCTTGCCCCTGAAGGTGGACCAGCTGCAGCCCAGAGGGGCAGTGGGGCAGACCCTCACAGGCCCGGATGCCCCATGGCGGGGATTAAGAATGTGAGTTATGCTGCCCTTATGAACAAAGTGTGTTGTTTTACTTTATCAGTTGATTCGAGGACTAACCAGCTCAGGGATATGAAGGGGAGGGTTGCAGCCGTGACCCTGGCAATTGTTGGCCTGCGCTCCCTGGGCCCAACCCACGTCATCAGCACTTGACTTCAGTGCACAGTTTGCGTATGTTGCTGGAAGGTCCAGGGTCTTAAGCCATGAGTTTCCAAAATAAACAATTTCTAAGTGTCCTTTTTAAAAAAACAATAATATTTTTTAAATTATAAAAGTAATTTATAGCCACTGTAGGAAATCACAAAAAGGAAAGATAAATACATAAATATCTATACATATCAGTTTAGTATTTTTTCAATATATATACATATACATATAAATATATAAAACATTGCTTTTTCTTGGTTTTATAGGGGAAGGGGTTCAAAATTCAGTTCATATAAAATTTTAGTCTGCTTTGTTTCATTTTGGCTTTTTTTTTTTGGGTGAGGAAGATTGGCTCTGAGCTAACATCTATGCCAATCTTTCTCCACTTTATGCGGGAAGCCGCCACAACATGGCTGACGAGTGGTGCTAGGTCCATGCCTGGGAACTGAACCTGTGAACCCAGGGCCGCTGAAGCAGAGTGCACAGACTTAAACACCACACCACCAGGCTGGCCCCTAGTCTGCTTCTTTTACTTAGCAAAATATCATAAGTACTTCTCTATGTCATTAGTCTGATTTTTAATGTCTACAGATTATCCTTTGTGGGTATACCACAGTTTACTTAATCATTCCCCTGTAAATTGACATTTACATTAACTGATGATTTATTAATATAAAAATACAAGGGCCAGCCCGGTGGTGCAGCAGTTAAGTGCACACGTTCTGCTTTGGTGGCCTGGGGTTCACCGGTTTGGATCCCGGGTGCGGACATGGCACTGCTTGGCAAGCCATGCTGTGGCAGGTGTCCCACATATAAAGTAGAGGAAGAAGATGGGCATGGATGTTAGCTCAGGGCCAGTCTTCCTCAGCAAAAAGAGAAGGATTGGCAGCAGATGTTAGCTCAGGGCTAATCTTCCTCAAAAAAATAAATAAATAAAAATACAGCAGTAAATATATATTGTGAGTCAAAGTAGGCACATGTATATGAAAGGTGAGACACTGCTTAAAAACTGTGTTTCCAAAACTTGTGCCCTGCAGGGTCTACCTCAGAACCTGCAGAATTTATAGGTAACTTATATATAAACATATATACAAGTAATGATAACTGTGGAAATCATCAAACTGTGGGGTCCTGCCAGCACTCAGCCTTTGCTCTTCCACTTGAGAAGGTCCAGCAGGACATGTCTGTGAATTTCTGTGTGTCCTCAGAACAGAGGGTCTTCCCGTGTCTGCATAACACTCTGGTTCTCAGAACACACAGCCTTTTCTCAGCTGAATCTAGAAGCAGGTCTTCCAAGACACCGGTGGCTGAGGCTCTGAGTAGACTTTTGACTCAGGGCTTCAGAAGATCCTTGGTGCTAAATGCCCCTCCCTGAGCAGAGCTGTTTCACACTCAGGGGCTGTGTCACCTGTGGGCTGGAATAGGACTCAGCTACTCAGCCCAAAGGTCCGGAACTCAGTTGTATCAGAGCACAAGGGAGTGAGATCAGGAAAGACCCTCCACTGAGGATCAGCCAAGTGCACACACCTACAGCATGTGACAGAGCCGTGTCCACAGTCTCCTGCAGGTCAGCCTCCAGCTGTGTAGACACCATCCTCTACTCCAAATCCCGTGAACACCTCTACCCTTCTTCTCTCTATTTTGGTCAATAAATGAAAAATCAGCTCGGGGAGAGGGTGGTCAAGGACACCATGACCCACTGAGGAGTCTCCGCGGAACATGGCAACGTCACTATATTCTGGCTAAAACGGGGTAGCACAATGCCAGCTCCCGTCTCTAACCCCAGGATGAAAGTGAAAGCTGGTGTGGAAAGACCGAGAACTTGTTTCTGGCCCACAGGTGACACAGCCCTTAATATGAAACACCCTTTCCTCAGCGGGGTGAGTTAGCACTGAGGTATCTTCTGAAACCCTGAGTCACTCAGCTCTGGGAATTATGGGTGTGGACCAGACTGGGAACTTGCTGAATCCTTTTCAGTGTAATTTGGACCCACCCTAAGCATCTGGGGGACCTGGAAGAGGCCCATGTTATCTGGACTTAGCCCCAGTTGTAGGCAAATGGTAGACCAGCTTTAGACTCTCTGGGCTTGCTCAGCTCCTGAGGCCACAGGGGAATCCCAGCAACCCGAGAGATTCCAGCGTGACCCTGGACTTGCCCCACTTTCTGGCTCTGCCAAATAGGCGAGAAATCAGGATGAGGGAAGGAGCACACGAGCAAGTAAATCGCAGCCTCCCTTCCCCTACAAAAGCAGAACTTGGCCTGTCCCTCTGCCAGGGCAAGGGACAGCCTGAGGAGTTAGGGCAAGGGCCGAGGTGTCCCAGAGTCCTGAGGCCCTGCACAAGAGGGAGAGGATGGCCTGCCATCGGCATCCCAAACCAGGATTCGGGAGACGTGCTGGAGCTTGGACAAGCCACACCTCTGCTCCTCAGTTTCCCTATCTCTAGTGTGGGGAGAAAAGCCACAGCTTCCGTACTGCATTTACAAGATAAGGAAGACTCCAACGATTTCACCGAACCCCATCACGTGTGCCCACACCTCTGGCCCTCCCTGCTGACGCTGGGGCTGGTGAGCGGCCTTTCCTGATGCAACTGTGGTTCTGGAATGTGGTTTGATTCATGTGATAAGAAAACCATATAATAAAACAAATGTTAAATGGAAATCCCATTTTAGTATTTTCGTGCAGGAGCTCAGGAGGAAGTCAAGGTGGGAAATGCGAGGAGTATGTTGACAGAAGAAAAGGAGAGAGCGGAGATCTTGAATGAGTCACGAGCCCTGGGCTCTTGCAGGAAGCACGGCAAGTATCGTAGATAAAACATCTGCAGGGGCTCTTAACAGAAATGGTTTGCCTCTGCTCTCATTAATTGCTGGGCTCACCATAAGTGTATTTAATATGCAGACGCTGCTGCTCTTGCTCGAGTGCTGGGAGAAGAGAAGCACAAAGCAGTGTTTTGGAGGACTTGGCCGTGGCCTTGAAGGCCTTACGTTAGAGAGGCAGAGAACCTGGTAAATGAGACAGTGCACAGAGGTGCCTGACCTCCTGGGCCCAAATCTGCCATTTACTAGCTCAGTGACACTGGGCAAGTTATTTACATCTCTGTGCTTTAGTTTTCTCATTTATAAAGTGGGAATAATGATAGCAATTCTTTCATTAGGCTGTTGTGGGGAATAAATGATTTAATGCATGAAAAGTACATAGAGCCTGACACATAGTCAGTGCTTAAGAATGTTAGCAATTATTATTTCCTAGAAAGGGAGTTTACAAGGAGGATGGGTGGTGTCATCATCCAATATTAGCAGACTATTCCATGCAGCACAAAGACATACTTAACCTTTTGCTTTTTCTTAACATACATAATGATGTTACTTGCTCCATGTCTAACATTTGTCACTTTCAGCCTCCTATGCACCTGCAAACATGGACCCTGGCTTTCAGCTCTCTGGCCTTAAGAT